ATTGGGACAATATCACGATTGAGGGAAACAAAGATTGCGCCCATCGTGATACCGCTAATCCGCTCTTTGTAAATTTGACAGAATCAGCTGTGTGTTTGACGTCATTTTGGTGTAATTGTTGACTGGGTACGGTTTAGTTATTTGCCCAATGTTTTCGTGCTATTACATCCGAATGGGTGACCCGATCCAAACAATTTTACACACACTTGTAGTCAAGAGTCTACACTTTACCGTAAAACCTAGCTTTGTAATTTTCGGTCACTAATTTATTAATAAATTCGGTCAGAATGTGTTCTTTTTTTGTAAATTTCGGAGTGAGTTTTACGCAAATATACTGTAGGTGGCGTAGCCGAAGTTATATGCGCAAATGTTGAGTACCTTTGACAATAGAAAGGTTTTCTGCACAAAAATACTGTTTATCGAGTTTACATTTCCGGTGTTAAAATGCTAATTTTGGACCATTTTCCAATGGTTCCTCACGGATCGCTGGAAGGTTTCGAGTGGTCAGGTGTGACTTTTTACGAAGTGTGAACCGTGCTTTTATTTTAGTGGGTTGCATATCAAGACCCACACCCCCTCCCCCTCCGCCCACTAACCCTATGAGGTTTATTTTTGCCTTAAATAGCTGTTAGACGTGGCAAGTGCAAGTCCTTTTCAAAGGTTTGTCAAACTCAAGAATTTCCAAAAGTGATTGCAGGAGCAGTTACACTTTGCATGTAAAGTGACTTTCGAAAGCAGTTTTTATTTCCGAAAATCAAACTTTTCGATACTACTTTTTGTTTACACGGTAAATGCAGACAAGTCTACTTTTACTATGTTACCCGACATTTCTATGCTTGTAACAAAATTAATGACCTGAAAAATTTACTAAACCTGCTAAAACGTGCACAAAACTGTCACAAAATGTCTTATACATTACTATTCCATATCAGTAGAGTAATAAATTACATTTGATCACAAATTTTAGTTTGGTTTTTGTTCTTCAGACGCCATTATCCAATTTCTATGTAGAATTTCTCGGTGATTCCGAAAATCGAGTTAATTTTTTTCTATGGTTACGTTTTCGACATATTTGCAATTTACCGTTATTTAGCTTAAAACAAAAAGTGACCCCACTTAATCACGTATATCTTACGAACCAAGAATCTTAATATGAGAGCAAATGAAAGCTAATAACATTCTGCATAAACCACATATACATCACTTTCCGATAGGACTAACAAATCTGACAAATTAATTAATCATTACAGTTTTTTTATTTTTTAATGGAAAAAATATCAAAATTTAACAGAAGAAAAGTTTAAAAGATAACAGGTTCTGTGCCAAATTTTTACATCTGTGCTGAAGCCTGTTCTGTTCCAAAAAAAAATCAAGTTACCACTGAAGAAATCGGATTGATAAATAAAGAAATAATAGTGATCAAATGAAAATACGCAAAGATTTTTTGTATGAAATATGAGCAGAAAAGCGTGTTGCTCAGATGTTCAGTGGTGGCCTTATAATTAGAAACGACATGCTAGAAAAACCAAAATCACTGTACAAGTTTGTTTAAGACGGACACTGTAAAATAAAGGCACCGTTATTCATAGAGTAGGCCATGAACATTGTTGTCAAACAAACACCTGCTGATACGATGATTGGTTATTAAAAAAATTCAAATTATTTTGCGGTGTTTGTTTCTTGGCTGGCCACGCAATTAGAAATGCGGCGTTTTCTTTATTTTCTTGACTTGTCTTGGAGTTAGCGATAAAGTGAGTATACTTCGAAAGAGCCATAGTTGGCTTGCAATAATTTTGATATATTTCAGTTGTTAGAATGGGCATAAAAAAAGTCATGCACTCCAAAACACTTTAATTTTACTGTACTTTGAATTCGTTAAAAAAAGTACTCTGTTCAAAATCTGCCATTTGAAATTTTTTGTAAAAATATTTAAAACAAATTAAAGTACAGACAATCTAATATAGTTAACGCGGTACTATCGCAGGCTTACCATTAAAAACAAAGAAAATAAAACAGGTTAAACGAGCTTTTTCTCCCCTCCTTGCGGTTTTAAATACTTATTTTCTCAGACAGTTTGATGATGCTAAATTTTGAGTAGCGGCTACCGCGGCTGAGTGATTAGAGATGAACACTGCCACCCAATTGGACCCAGGTTCGATTTCTAGTCCGACCAACATCCAAACAAGTGTTGTTGCAATAGCAGTTGACCCTCGTCACTAACAAACCTCCGAGTGAGTGTACTTCTGCCATGAATAAAGCTTCTTCATAAAAATCATCTGCTATTCGGAAGTGGCGTAAAACTGCAAAATCTTGGTTCTTCAATTACGAAACAGCCGTGAAACTGTCACAATTTACGAAAGGTGAAAAGTTTTTTGACTCCACATTGTGATCGAGAGAGGGTATGGAGGTATAGAACACGGAGATGAAATCCACTTAAAAAAGCTCTTTACTTTCATACAAAACAGAGGATGCATTCCAACATTTTCAAAAACCACATATGTAAATTCAGATACTCCATGTAAAAATTCTAAAAAACCGCATAAAAAATCCAGTGAGGCAATATTAAGCAAAACAAAACAATTTGTTTCCTCACTTCAACACTTTTTTTTATGTAAAACTAAACATTAATGAAACAAGAAATTTTTAAGCAAAAAAAAAACCGACTTCATTTCTCGTATAAAAATTTAAGATTATCGTTAATGTCTTCATGTGAGATAACACCTTTCCTTTAAAAAAAGAATTATAGAAATCGGTTAGCGTGGTCCAAAAATATGCAGTAACATACAAAAAAAATATTCCGACGAATTGATAACCTTCCTCCTCTTTGTAAAGTCGGTTAATAAATAGGATTTTATCCGAAGCATTGTCTCTTACACACCGAAAGAAGTAATAAGAACTCAGAAAAGCAAAATCGCTACAGCGAAAAAAATTGTTCGAAAATCCGCATAAAAAAATCGTATAAGAAGAGATCTAAGTGTATACTATGTATTCCATATATGAAACTATCTTATTTGTTGTATCAAAGTTTTGGCAATTTTCCTTTTTTTTCATTTAATATTTTTTTTAACAATAGTATAACTCATTATTTAACAAAAGCCATGGTAGCCCAAATTCAAACTTTGTATAAAAATTTGGAATATTCAACAAACTTTCTTTAAAATTTTAAACTTATGGATCAGAATTTTTAGCAAAAACTGTGGTTTTGTTTCACTGGCGGCTTTACTAATTTTTACCACGTTTGTACCAACTCGCGTTCTTTTCCCATATACATATGTACTAGGGATGTTATTTTTTTTTCGCTTTTTATGATACCGGGATTTTTGGGATGTCGTTCTCACAATCCCGTGATTAGTCCCAGGATTTAGATATAATTACTTTTCAACAACTTAAATCGAAAAAATTGCTTCTATCTCTCCTACCATAAAATAAATGAGTTTGAAACCTACTTTTTTTTAAGTGGCGTTTTTATTTTTTTCTCTCTGACGTCAGGATTTATTTTAAAGGATTTTGTAATTTCAAAGTTATGATTAATTCCAAAAGTTATAAAAATTATTATAAAAATTCAATGCAATGTAGAATAAAAATGTGGGTACCAAATGGAAGAGGAAATTTTTTTTAAATTAAAAAAAATTAAAATTTTTTGGATTCACCAAGACCGATAAGGTAATTTTTTAATAGATAAAGTTAGAAGGACGAGATTCGAGGATATTATCGAGTCTATATAAGTTCTTAACATAATTTTTTCAAAAACAAATATTGCGAAATTTCAAGGATAAAAGTTTGAAAGGATATATTCAATACTTACCAGTCGTTCTGCACGAACAAATTGAATCTGATTAAATTCTACAGGATTTCCTCTTTAATTTGATACCCATACTTCTTCTCTAAGCACAATTCTCTGAATTTTGTAATAATTTTTTAATTACTGACGTCAGAGTGAAAAACTAAAAACGCAATTTTACTGTATTTGGCCCATGGTCTATTATTGCCATCAGTGCAAAAAAAAATTACATACTATTTGCCAAGAATCCCGGGATTTTCGGCGCCTAGAAATGGCCGGGATCCCGGAATTAACATCCCTAATATGTACAATAGCAAATTGTCTTAAAACATACGCGTAAATGCCCCCTTACCTGCGTAAACCTCGTAAATAAACCCGTTTTGTTTTCCTTGAATTAATTTTTTGGATGTCCTTGGGAGGAGAAATCCTGCCGTCCTATTAAAAATTGGAAGATGCAGATTTACTAGAAATGCGTTCAAATATCGGAAACACGGAATTTTTCGCATTTCTAAAGTTTTCATGAACGATTAGTTCAAGTTATTTACTCAGGTTCTGCAATTCACTCCCGAGTGAATTTCAACCCTTACTAATTTGAATTTAAAACCAAACAGATTGAAATCCACTCGGAAGTGAATGGCAGAACCAGCCAGATTAACTAAAACTTCAACTTAAAGTCGGCACGGGTTATCGTTATCCTACGGCCTTAAATGCTATTAGACTAAAAAACACAAATACGGAGAGTATGCATATAAAAATTTGGAAAAAAAAATCTCCATATAATGTTAAGAATAAAAACTAAGCAATTGCTTTTTCTTCAAACATCAGACCTTTTACTCGATTTATTCAAACAAATTTAAGTAAAAGGTCTGAAATTAAAAACAAAGCAATTGCTTAGCTTTTATTCATATTTAAAAAATAAAATAAAAAACCTTAAAAAAACGAAAGAAAAATAGCCAAAACTTGTTAAAATTTGGCGCCATTATTTTTTCCGCCACCGTACACATTTTGAAATGAATTTCCGTTCCGTTTTTTTGTTTTTGACAAATTACTCTGAAGATGGTACAACCCTGAAATCGGTTTGTCTCCAAAACAAACTTTACAAGGCGTCTCAGAAATTCGTTCCTAAATTAGCTACTTCCACTAAATAAACATAAAAAAAATTAAAACCCTTAACTAACTGCTTAACGTGTTCCCATTTGCTTTTTTATTTTCATTGCAGTCAGATGATTTTATTACCTTAGTTATACGTTTTATAAATAAAACGCAAAGATGACGGATTTTGATACTAAATTTATGGAAATGCAGAAATATCTGCCATTCCTCAGGAATGTCATCGAGAAATTGCGTAGCAGTTCCGATCAAGATGATGACAATCCGCGCATGGCGCAATTGAAAAAAATGGAAGTGCTTCACGATTTGCTGAAAGACAACAAGAAAAAGTACGTTGAGCCAAAATGAGCAAAAAACTAAAGATTAAAAAATAATAACTCTATAAGACAAACATTTGTCACAGTTGTTAAGCAAACAAATGAGATATCGTATTTTTCCCTATAAATACACTTTTCAGATTAAAAATGGAGACATTGATGAAATGTGAAGGATTATTATTAAAGCTTGCCAGCAAAATGGAAAGGGTATGTTGAAGTTGAAAAATTTCTATATATTAGTTTTACCCTAAGCTATGTTTTATTTGCGTAAATTTATTATTACTTTATTTATGTATAATTGATTTTTACTGGCGTTAATTAAGTTAATTTTTGTCTTAATTTATACAGAAGCATGGTGCATGTAACTGTGCATGCTTTTACTTGTAGGAATATTATTTTGAACCTATGTATATGAAATTTTCCAAATTTCGAATTTCTGCTAAGAATTGCACTTAGCGTGATTTTTTTCAATGTCCAGCTAGCAATCATAAACATATTCGCCTATGTGTTTTTAATTAATATCGAATATATGGCTTATAAACTTCTATAAGTCTTCTGATTAAATCCTCATAAAATACCCAAAGCCCACGGGTGACATTTCTGAGACAACATAGGTAAGTTTTTATGTAACCTAATCTTCCTCCAATGGATACATTCGATTGAATTGGAAAAGCATACGACCATGCGACGCCTACTACAGCTACCGCGTAAAGGAGCGCAAATTCGGTGTAGGCGCCTAGTATTGCAACAACAACAAGTCGAGACTCCTCAGCATCTCGCTCATTTGTGACCACGCCCCGGTGAAAGGGAAGGACGAGGCGGCCACAGAACTCTTGTGAACTTTGATCCAAAATCGTCGAAAAATTCAACCTCTACGACACAACATGCGATAGCGGACTTAGTCTTCAGCACTGCAAAGGTTCCGGCATAGGAACATCGTCAAGCTACATGTCTGTTTGCAGTTATAAAGACGAGAAACCAGATCGATCATGTTGTGTTAAGCGGAACGCATGCTCCGCGGACCAAAACATCCAGCAATGCAAAGAAAGCTTAATGCCGAAAAGCTGCTTACATAGCAGATTGCGTGTAAATACATACATATAGGGCTAGTTTCTCCAACTCAACTTAACTTAGTTTAGGCACTTTTTGGACTTAAGTCAAAAGTTAGCCTACGTTTTACACAGCTTATTCATGACTAAGTCAAGAAAATTGGCTTAACTATGTTAAGTTGAGTTGGAGAAACCAGCCCATAGAGTCTGAAAGGCGTGAGTGCGAAGACATCAAGCTCGAAAAATTTCCGAAGACCAGGGCGAATTCTAGTAAGAACAAAAACGGCGACTTTTTGTCTGATATTAAGACAATACTTAATTAGAAGGTAACAGTGAACCAGTGGAGAAGATAAACGCAAGTTCCCAGTCAAGAACGGCGGAACCAATATTCCACCGCCTGTCCAAAACGATGGACGAATACCAATTTCGCCACCGGAAAACCAGAAAAAATTTGAAGCTGACGACGCACAGTGTTCTATTTTGGAAAAAAATGGACAAAGTCATGCACATATCTCGAGAACGAGATGAGATGGCGAAATAAGTGTAATAGTATTTTAAAGCTTTTGAGATAGAGAATTCAGGAAAAGTAGTCATTAAAATTACCTCCAAATATGGAAGGTTTTAAATTTTCTTTTATTTTTTTTTTTACCAGAAACCAGTATGCAATGAACTTTTTAAAAGTTTTGCGCACATATATTTTGGCTCTTCTTGCAGCAAGGAATCCATTTCCATGTTCATACATAAGCACCAAAAAATCCACAGACATTTTTTTCAAAGTCATTGCATGTAGTTTTTTTTTTTTGTTAAAAAAGAAAAAAGGAGGTCGGTTTTGAGAACAAAGTAATTTTTCATACAATCAAACATTTAAAATTACCTTCCTTGAGTTTTCTTATTTTTTTACCTAAAGGTTAAATTAGTGGTGACATAGTTCCCATAATGCCATAGCCATAACCGTAACCATATTATAGATATCATAACCATAAACAGCTGATTTTTCGTAGTCTACAATGTCGGTGTTGCCAGACGCGCCAAAATGTGTAATATCGTAGGACATTTGCGCAGAACTTCTCTCACTATCACTAAATTAACACTAAATTCTTAAAACTCAAAAGCAGATCATAATAATAAAATATGTACATCAAGGTAAAGGTATTTAACTTAATAGTACTTTCTTAATAATATAAATTTGTTTTTGTTAAAAAATTTTATTTTATGAAAAAATAGGAAATTTACATCAACTGAAAGATAAATTAATTGTCTTTATTTTGGCATCATTAGTTTTTGAATCGGTTATGTAGTTCAGATTTATGGTTTTTGCATAGCTAAATAGTTCATATTCTACGTTTATGCCAAAACGTTGGCTGTGAACAATATTTTTTTATTTTTTGAACGTCTGGCAACACGTTCTTACTCGCACTTCAGTTATGGCTATGGCGTTATGGTGTGGCCATATATGTAATACTTCTATATTGGGAGCAGGGATGTTGCGAATATTTGCATTCGCATCATTTTACACATTCGTATTCGACATTCGCATCAAATGATACTAATGTTTTGCGAATGCGAATGTGTACATGGGCAGAGAGCAGGGTTGCCACTTTCGTAAATTATTACCAAAATTGGTAGAAAAAATTTGGGTTGGTAAAAATGTAAATTTTTTTTGATTTTGGTAGATTTTTGTTAAAGTAATTTCTTTAACACCAAATTAAACGTTTCGTTCGCGCGCTTTATTTTTCGTTTCTGAATATGTTTATTTTATGAATTTCTTACCAAGATTATAGTCTACTTTATTGCATAAATTTTCGAACGCTTTAATGCACACTTTTTATATACATACATATGGTTACCTTAATTCACAAAGGCCCTAACCAACAAATTTTAATTTTTACAGGATAAGCAAAAAACCATTAAAAAAATATATATCAAAAACAGGTAGGGCTTTTTAAAAATTGGCATGTAACTTCATTGTTTTGGTACTAATCACCAATCATTTTTTAAGTATTTCAGACTGTTAAAATTGAACATTTAACTTACAAATTTTTATTGAAGGTGTAGTTTAATATATCCTACCAAAATCTGTGAAAAACGCAGTTTGCAAAAAAGTGTTGGTTAGGGAATTTGTGAATTAAGGTAACAACATGTATGTATGTATATCGTTTAAAGGCGAACATATCGTGCTCCATTAAAAACTCAATTTAGTGGAATCCTGAGCAGCTCTTAATGGACTAAATATTTTAAAATACTCTTTAAATAAAAAGAAAAAAAGTGGACAGGTATGTAATTACGCACTATGATTGTTGTCAAAAAAATTGAAAAGAAAAAATCAACGCAGGTTTTATAAATGGCAGATGTTAAATGAAAACAAAAAAAAAAAAAAAAAAAAAAAAACGGCGGAAAAAAAAAAAAAAAAAAAAAAAAAAAAAACGCAAAAGACCGGCGGCAAAAAAATTAAATATATCAACGGCAATTTTTAGCTGCATACTGTTGGTTATACTTAAATTCCCTGGACTATAGAACTGCATAACCAAAAATGATCAAAAAATTCAGAGTAAAATGTTCGAAATTTAGACAGTAATTTGGGTTTGGTTAAAGCGCAAACAATATTCTTATACAAAAAATAGCAAACAAACTTTTACTTGAAAAACATTGTTAATATTAAAAAGAAATCACGAAGCGATTTTTTGAGTCCCTCTACTATTTGCCTATAATAACTCCAGTTGAAGTTTCTTCAAATGATGAAGTTTTATCACTTTGCTTTTGGTTGAAGGAAACCGAGAATATGCCAATGATATGATTAGTTAAATAAAAAGTTCCTTTTATTGAAGTAACTAAAAAAATAGAGAGAAACTGTTGTGTTTATTAAGATAATTAAAAAAAGTTGTTCGTAAATACTTTCCACATTTGGTAGATTTTTCTCAAGTGGATGGTAAGTATTTTTTTCGGCAGTGGCAACCCCGGGCAGAGAGTCCACTCTAATAATGTTGAAATGGCTCTAAGTCTGTCTAACAAGTGTGCGGTAAATAACCGGCTTTTAGCTTCAGACGCTAAACGGTTAAGTAGGTTATCAAGCAAATTGATGGGCCTTCAACAAGTACTGCTAAAAGTCGTATAAGCAACCTAGAAATAATTTTAGAATCCTCCAGCGAAAGCGAAGGCTCGGTTATAGAATCTGGAGACATTAAAAAATGTGAAATTAAAGCTGAGTTGAAGGCCTATCTTAAAGAAAAAATTAGAAAATCCTCCCGATTGGTGGAAAACTGAACTAAAATACGACAAATTGACAGATCTGGCCCGCAAATATTTGAGCGCTCCACCCGCCAGCGTTCCAAGTGAGCAATTGTTCAGTGCAGCCGGCCTTATATAAGAAATCGTCTCATGGGAGAAAAGGCAGCAAAATAACTTTTTTTGAAATATAATATGCCCCTTTTGTACTTTTGACTACTAGATTAAAACGCGGTATAGGCGAGGCACTCGTTCAATGCTCTAATAGTTAACCAAATTTTTAAGTAATAATAACGATGACTTAAGTTGATTATAGCTTTTTTGATGTTATTCCTAACATTCGCATTCGCATTCCGAAAAATTCGCATTCGCGAATGTGAAAAATATGACATTCGAAACATCCCTAATTGGAAGTATCTACAAGTGCAGTCAGTGCATTACAGTACAGATGTATAAAAAAAGAAAAGGAAAACCGAGTAATCGTATGTATAAAGTGACACTTGATTTCAAAACAAATCACAGTGGCGGAACGTTAAAAGAAAATTAATGGGAATTTTTAGTTTACATTTAATTTCGTTAAAATTTTGAGAAAAAAAGCAGCGATAAATTAAATAAAATAGCTTTACATGCGTATTTTGGTACGCAGATAATTTCTAGAAATTTTAACCTAAAATCTTGCAATTCTAATAAAACTTTGTTAATTTTTTTTTATTTTTGACAAAGTTTGGAATTTGGATTGATTTACTTTCCGTTAGAAATTGAGCTCTACTTTTATAAAAAAAAAAAAATTTGCAAAAAAAATTAAAATTAATAACATTGAGAGTATTATATAAAGATCACTACAACTTTGAGTGAGTCAATATAGTTGTTTATCCCTTTTTAACTGAATAGTGAGTAAATTTTTACTCAGTGAAAAATGGAGATATATGTTTGAGTTAAACGTTCTAAAATAATAAATTTCTAATCATTAAAAAATTGTTCCAATCGGTTTTTGAATTTCCATGTAGCTTTAAAATAAAGTTTTAGTACTTCATCATAAATGTTCAGTAAAAATCGTCAACAAAGGGGCATAACCACCGCAGCGTAAAATACATAATCCACTTCAAATTTATTTTGAAGCGCTACTGAGGATTAGTGTTGCCGTTTTAGCCCTTTGGTGGCTAGATTTAGCTACCACATACTTTTTTTGACCACATAAATTTAAAATTGCCCCTAGCCCTTTTTTTAGCCCTTTGGAGAATTTATTCATACTTGGCATGAAAAAATTGTATATGCTTAATTTGATCTCATATTTTTTTCATCTATATAAGAGATGAATTTTTAAACTAAGAAAGACTGATATATATACATATATGTATTGTATGTTCCTTACGTTTTTATACTACTATAGTTTAAAATAGATAAGTTTACGACCCTTAATATGCTTTATTTGTTAAATGGCCCATCAAATCGATTGACCGTGTATGTTCTTGTGGTGCGATTGTACCAGCTGCTGGTGCGACTTCAAAAACTATATGAAAATTTTATGGTTGTACCAGCATGCTGGTGTCGTGAGTGGTGAAATTAGCTAAATTTTCTAAGCAAAAAGTATTTTGGCGGAAATTTCTTGCCTTCTATGGGTCAAAGCCGTGTTTTTGTAACTTTTAAAAAGTTCATTGCAAACTGGGTTCAGGTGAAAAAAGGAAAATTTTAAAACGTATATTTGAAGGTCACAATAACAGGTCAAGGTAATTTTCCTATCCAACGAGACTACATTTCCTGAATTCTCCATCTCAAAATCTGTAAAATACCGCTACAACTATTTCGCTGCCTCTTCTTGTTCTCGAGATATTCACAAAAAGGAGGAGGTTATCAGTTCGTCGAAATATTTTTTTTTTTATGTACATATGTTACCGCATAGCTTTGGACCACGTTAACCGATTTTGATAATTGTTTTTTCATCGGAAAGGTGGTACCTCAAGGGTGGTCCCATACCAATTTTGTTTACATCCAATAATTGGATCGTGAAGAAATTAACGATAATCTTAAATTTTTAAATGAGCATTGAAGTCGGTTTGTTTTTTGCTTAAAAATTACTTGTTTCCATTTTTTTAATACACACTGTGCGGAGGCGAGTAGTTGATAAGGTGTATGCATCAACTCTTATGCAGCAAATCGCCGCATGAACGATTACCTGACGACTGGTCTTATGGTGTGATTATGGCAATTTAACGTAACTTACAGGATCTCACTTAAAAATACTCCTAGATGGATGTTAACTATAATTGAACAGCCGAAACTTAACGTAACTTAATGCCACGTCGAGATCTGTTTCATTTGGATTCTCTAAGTTCTAAGTTCCGTTAAGTTAAGTGGCCATTATCAGGCTTTGAAAGTGTGCTCTGCCCAATCCACAGAAAAGGCGACCCTGCCATATCCGCCAACTACCGTGGAATCCGCCTATTAAACTTTGCATATAATGTCTTATTGAGCATATTATGCGAAAGGCTAACTCTAACCGTCTACGAACTGTTTGAGTCTTAACAGTGTAGGTTTAAACTTGACGAATCCATTATATAGCAGGTTTTCGTCATATGTACGTCAAATGATTGTAGAGATCTGCGAGAGATCGATACTCTTTGGGATTTCCAAGTAGCACGAAAAGGAGCCGTCTGTACATCGGGATTTTTGAATTTGGCATCCCCATGTAACTAACGTAAAATTACGTTAAGCAATAGCAACAACGCTGTAAGAATTGGTAAGACCCTCTCTGAGCCATTCGGTACAAAACGAGTTTTTAGAAAGGGCGGGTCTCTGCCCTACGACGTTTTGAATCTGGTGCTATAGCGAGGAGGACATTGAAAGGCTGCGTCAAGTGCAATTATGTTTTAGCGAGTTTTCTCCTTTTAGCGTTCTTTTTAGTTTAGTTTTAGTACAACATAAATAAGCTAAGTCTTATAATTTTACCTATGTTTGCCTATAATATAACTTGTCTTTACTTTTCAATTCGTTATTTTTGACAATTTCCTTTCATTCTTCTTGCTTCTTGTTATTTGCTTTAAAATGTTTGCGTTGCATTGAAAAAAATAAAAACACAAACCCAAAAATACTATCAAAAATATGCCCAAACAATGAGTAGATACCCTTTTTGCAGGGTGAAACTGAAACTTCCAAACCAACAAGTCATACTTCCAACATAAATAACACAACAACAATGTCAGAAACAGAAGTGCCAAGTAAAACAGATAAAGTGTCTAGTGTTGATGTAGTAGATATAACAGGACCAGAGAGTCCACCACCACAACCTCTGGAGGAAGTACCACCTGTGGAAATACCCACAGAACGGCGGAAATCACCCATGGAGGGTGAAAAATTGTCAAGAGATAGACATAAACAGGAGCGACAACAGAAACACCACCACCATCATTATCATCACCAACAGCGCCATGAACATCATGAAAGCAGCCATCAATCGCGTGAACATCACACACAACAACAACAGTCAAATCTCAATCGATCGGTTGCTCGTTCAAGCGAGCGAGATCGTTCTAGTGATTCTTCAAAAATATTTAATAGACGCAGTGCTGGCATGGAGAGCTCAAAAGATGTGGTACCTCCAACTATAAACGCCATAAATCGTGATAAGAACCATGTAGAGTCGTCGCGAAATCGTGATCCTCGCGCATCGAATGCTTTCGCCCATGAAATCTATTCACCCGAAGAATGTTGGGATGATTTCGAGGTCAATAAAAGACCGTCATTTAACACAAGTCATTCCGCAAAATCTTTAACACCCGACTCGCCACCAATATCGAGGCTGGAAGATAGATACCATGATACGATATTCAATTTTAAGAAGCACTTGCCGAAATCGAATGATATGTTTTCGCGAGTACGTAATCCGGACCCACCTAAGACGGTACCCGGTAGATCTGCACCCATTTCCATACCCGTCAAAGTGCCTACCATACCGGAGGTATTGAAAAGCCCGCCATTGTCAGCTAGTGATATCTCAGACTTGCTGAGTGAAAGTGAAGGAAATGCGAATGATAAGAGTATTCCCAGTATTGCCGGAATAGGTACACGTCGTCCGGCGAAGTCGCCGAATAACACCATGAGTTCAGCCACTGAAATATCACCAAGTGAAGCGTCAAATCTCGACAAAATACGTAAAAAGTTCGCCATTGTTACAAAAGGCTCACCACAGCGGCGAGACAGTCCGGATATGTTGAAGCCACCAGTTACAACAACAAAACCGAAAGATATGGAAAGTTCTCTGCCCAACGAACGCGTAGCTTTAAAATATAAACCACATCCGCGCGCGGAGCGAAGCACTTATCAAAATAATAGTGACTTGCACGCTACCCCGCCAGCAGATCCGCGCTTGAATCCAAATCGTTTTGTCGGTGCTACAAATAAGTCAACTCCACCAAGTGCGTCAAATTCTTTTAATGCTCAGTTACCCCAGGATCCCAGATTAAGGAAGCCTACAGCTGCTGGCGCAAACACAGGCCTCTATCAACAACCACAAGTATCACCGCATAATATGACTTCACCGCAAGCGCAAACCAATTCAAAAGTTAGTGCCACAGTGACCAAGCCACCTGGGCGAATATATCAAATACCCAGCATACTGGATATTGGTGTGAAAGATCCGCGCGCCTCACTCAGTCCAAATTATCCCAGCGGGCCAATGGATCCAAGGCAACGTCTGACAAATAATATACTAATCAATCCAACACAAGTGGGAATATATTCGAGAAGAGACTTTCCTGTGACTGTTTCACCGAAAGCCTATGGCAGTTCTCAACCCCCTATTGAGTTTGCACCACGAGAAAATAAGCCCACGTCGACGCAGAGAAGTAAAAGTGGCTACAGCAGCGAAGAAAACTGGGACTCAGATCCAGAAACGCCGCCGGTTGTAAATGTACCAAAAATTATACCGCCGCCAGTGCCATTGCACATTCCACAAAATCCAATTAATCGGTCCTTTAATGAATACGTGAAGGGAAAAGATGCACCTGTGAATAGTGGTTTTCGGGCAGCCAATCCACACTTGTTGCCAACACCACCTTTTGAACGCCCAAATGTCGGGCATCCTATGCCGCCGCGGCTAGCCACAAATCAGCACCTTCACCAAATCTCTGCCGCAGGAGTACCGCCTCATAATCCTAATCATAGTAAATTTAGCGCATTGCTCAATGATAAAACCGAACGCAGCAAGTATTTCGAATCGAAAAAGCAAAAACAGAGTGAACCGCGGACATATGTGGAATATAAGCAAGCAAAAGCGCGCGCTGCCGCGGAAGAGGCAGCGAGAAGAGCAGCTGCAGAGGCGGCAAAGACTGCTGAAAACAGCAAAGATATTGGCGAAGTGGCTGAGGTGGATAGCAGTGTATTAGCCAAGCTTTCCGAACAGCCACCAGCCGCATCTACGTTGGATAAATTGTATCGAAGCACCGACTTTAGCACCTGTGAGTTTCCCAAAGCGAAAACTAGCTTTAAAATACCAAAGAAGACTGTCGAAAAACCAGTCGACAACAGCGAAGCTAAACCAAAAACTGTTGAGAAGAAAGAAGAAGCTAAAGAAAACAAAAGCGAAGTGGAAGTATCTGAACAAAAACAACAAAAGAAAGAAAAAGAGCAGAATATTGTGGACACTGTGAAAAAAAATAAGACAGCTGAAAAACAGGCGACAGTGCAAGGTGGTAAGATCGCGTTTGTGAAAAATCCAGCGCTAAAGAAGGACATGGATGAAGTCAAAGAAAAGAAGGAAGCAAACGAAAAGAAGGATGTAAGCGAAAAGAAGGATAGAAGCGAAAAGAAAGAAGTTAGCGAAAAGAAGGATGAAAAGGCAGAAGTCCAAAAGAAAGATGTAACCAAACAGAATGAGGTAAACGAAAAGAATACCGATAAAATAAACCTAAACAAAGAAGCAATCAAAAAGGATAAAGAAACGAACAAAAAAGTTAGCGAGAAGGTTAAAACGAAAACCGTAAATAAAATGCAAGAAACTAAAGTGAGTGTTGCACCGGTGAACGCTGAGGTGACGCAAGTAGCCTCAGCGAATTCCAAACAGGAACTCGGCACTAAAATTGGGAAGGATAATATCGGAGCAAGCCAACCAGCATGTGGCGCAGACTTAGGTGTGGTTGCAGAAACCGCTCTGTCCAATTTTACACCCTCCAAAGCGCCAGCAAGTATCTCCGATGAGCCGAAGGAAGTAAACATAACTCAAAAGCCAATTGAAGCTGAAATCTCTGTTGAGGCTGTCACTGCAAACCAAGAGTCTGGCAAGAGTAAGCCACAGAAACCAGTTGCAGACAATGAAACGAAGGAAGAGAGCAAGCCTGACAAAGGCGAGGGTGAATCTCCTTCAACCACTCCATCATTATTTTCAGATAACCTCGGCAGTGCTACAATACCAGCGCGTATTTTGAGACGACGCAACACAATGGTTGTGCGCGGTAGTCTACCGGAAGTGGATAAAGATAAGATCTTTCCCTTCAAGTCGTTGGTGTATGAAGATATACAAGGCGCAAAAGAGGAGGAACGCCGGAAGGAAATTGACGCTATGCTGCCTAAAAAGAACAAGTGTCTGGCGGAAATGTTCCAGAGAACCGACGATAACTGCAAGGTTTCAACACAGAATATAATTTCCGGCAAGCGTCGCACACGCACTAACGTAAACTTTAATGAAGTGCAACGTACTTTGGAAGTTTTCCAACACAAACGACGTAGCGAGCCGTTGAAACCGCCCAGCGAGAAAGCGTCACCAGTGGTAAAGAAAACGCCACCCAAAGGAGGAAAGAAAGGCCCCAAGAGTAGAGTGAAGACGGAAACTAACGAAACCGGTAGTGACCAGGTGACAGAGGATGTAGAGATTACTGAGCAGGTGGAGGCCGAAGAAACTGAAAAGAAAAAGCGCTCCGTCACCGCGAAAACAATAAAACAGGAAAAACTGGCTGATGAAGAAAAACCTAATAAATGCGCTACAGGAAGGAAATCAAATGTGGCTGCGAACGCACAACCCTTAGAAGAAGCAGATACCGCTAAACCATCGCCAGCCGCGAAAGCAGTTGGAAAGTCAGCAAAGCCTAGTAGAATTGACGTGCTAATGGACGAAGATGCACAAAAACGACACTTGCTGGAAAGCTTCGTACAGGACATACTAAACCCAAAAAAGGATAAAGCACAAATTTTCAGTTTATTGTCGCAAATTCTCAGCGAAGACAACCTGAAATTCGTAAAAGAGATTGTAGAAACACAGGCAGAGAAAAATTCGGCACAGCTTGAAGAAGCTCACGAGGACGAGGCCGGTGAAAATGAAAGTGTTGCATCAGCATGTGAAGACTTGCAGAAACCGGAAGATGTCTTAGACAAGAAGGAAGGCGAAAGTGATGCCATAAATGTAGCAAAACCGCCAAAAGCCAAAAGAAAGTATAAGAATGAGCTGGATCGTCTAAACGAGGACATACGCACCATGTTTATAAGTCAAGGTGTTCTAACGGCCACTGGGCGTCGCATGTGCACGCTGGTTGCAGCCGCAGAGCAGGCGGATAAAGTTGATGATGCAAAGGATGTTACTGAAAAACCGAGTCAAACTGCAGTGGCTGCTGAAGTGAACGACACGCCGGTAGTAATGCCTGCAATACCGCGCATACGTAAAGCCAAGGTTGTGTTGAAGCAATTGAATGTCAATGATTTTCAAAGGCGGTCAAAGAGGAACAGAAAAGGAAATAATGTGGAAGCGAATGACAGCGCAGATGAACTTGAGAGTGAAGTGAATAGCATTTCGAAAACTGATAAAACACCACCGCGAAAAATGCCTGTACTAAAACCCCATACGCCGATAAAACAATCGGAAGTAGAAGACGATTCTTCAGATGAGCCGTCTGAGGAGCCAGCCGCTAAGAAGGTCAAGGTAGACGTTAAAGCGAAGCAATCCAAACCAGGACCGAAAAGTAAGAAACCGAAAGAGGCCTTGTTATCCGATGACGAGGAAGTTGTTGCCGAAAGCGACCATGCCTTGGAGAATGCTAACGACTCCGCCTCTAAGTCTGCTCCTTTAAAGAATGCTAACGACTCCGCCTCTAAGTCTGCTCCTTTAAAGAATACCAATAAAGAATGGCATTCGCAATCGAAGTGGACTAAATGGTGTGTGATATGTGATACGAAAATCAATTTTCCAGCTACACATTACAAGGGCAACCACGGCGAATACTATGCATCGCGACTTTCGCCTGAGATTTTGGAAAAAATGAAGGCGGGAAAAATGTCTAAACCCTTCTTCGGTGTAAACCATAAGAAATTCATGTACTGGTCATATCGTTGCCCCTTTTGCCTGCAGCACAATCGCACGGTACAGAGCAGCTGGACAGAGCATTTCATAACGCATACAGGCGAATACCTCTTTGAATGTAGTGATTGTCATCGACCTTCATCCAAAGCAAACCAGCTAGACACTCATACGAAGACAGTGTGCGTTGGCGCGACTGTAGTGCGTAAGAACTCGATGCCACACGGTCCAGTGTTGACAGGACATGTCTGTCACCTATGTAATTACATACAGCTAAACAGACAGAATCTAGACGATCACTATATCAATCAGCATGGTAAGGCCAAATCGAAAATCGCTAAACTCGGCTACACAATTGATTTGTTCGATATCAGAGACGTGGAAAATGTGGACGCTTTGAAAGCAATCGAGTTGGAAACAAAAATTTTGAATGAAGGTTTAGACAGAGAGGACATCGAAGAAGCCAAAACTCAGGAGGAGACCAACGAAGAGGACGAGGAAAGTAACGCTGCATTGGAGGAGCCAAACTCCCCGAAAAGTGATAACGAAAGCATTGATAGTGACGACTTACCAATCGCAAAAAGTGTGCAGTGCAAGCAGAACTCCGATGTAAAGAAGTCAGCTGTCGAGAAGGCTTTGAACTCCAATGTATTTGTGCCCACACGCGAGACAAATGAGTCACCCACTATGAATAATTTCGCGCAAAGCTTGTTTACTATATCACATGAACAGCCGGTAACTGGAATTGATGGCGTTGCATCTGCTGTCGGCGGCGTAGCTGGTGGCAGCATATCGATGGCAGAACGCTTAAGCCAGAGATTCAAAAGTATAAAAAGCGGGAAAGTATCCATGGCGAACACCAACAGCAGCCCCAAACCAGCAGTGCCTCGCATCACACCGACCACAGCCAGCACAACAAAAAGCACGCTAAATGTCGTAACGTCCCCGCTAGCACAGACAGCAGCACCACGTGTCGAAGCGCCTACCATCCTTCATGTTGCGAATGCACCACAGACTCAAAACAAAAGTTGTACAACCACTAACACTGCTACTGTAGATCCTTTATGTACCGAAAAGTCCACGGTACGGCCAGAGTTAAATCCCTCAACGGAAACAGCCTTCTCTACCAATACGGGAAGCGTCTGCCTGGCCACTGAAAAGCGAGTTACAGATGTAGTAACTTCTTCTGCGATTGAAACCGCTGTCGATTCACCAGCTGAAGATGACGATGATAACTGGGAAGATATTGAAATAACCGAGTCTGCACCGAGCACGTCGTCGTCTGTGGTTTCGACTGCGTCAAGCGCCATCAACAGTAAAAACAGTAAATCTAGCAAGAAGAATGTGTTGCATAAGTTAAATCGGCTATACGCGACGAATACGAAATTAAAGAGAAGTTTATCAATCACCATTGGTAGCAAAAGGAAGCCGACGGAAGAAAGGAAGGATGGGGAACCTAGTAAGGCGGCAAGTAAAGAGAACGCTACCCACAACGTCGTAGTAAATGTGAGCAATAACAATGTAGAGGTAGCGGCTCAACCTACAGCCGCACCTCTACCTTCAACTCCGGCGCCAGTTACACCTGCAACTCCAACTCCAGCTCCGCCTGCAACTCCAACTCCAGCTCCAGTTACGCCTGCAACTCCAACTCCAGCTCCAGTTCATATTTCCAATGTAGAGCTGAGAAGCGGGCCAACGATTTTGGCACATGTGCCACCGCTTAGTGATGAACCTAACCTCGGCTTTCGTCCACTTATTACCAATTTGGCTGACTTATTGCCCGACTCACCGCTGAATGATCCAATAGAGTTGGTACCAGAGTTAACACCCATGGAATCGTTGCAGGACCTCCGTGATGTTTCGTCCATACTAAATTCCGATTACATGTCAGACAATTGGGAGGCAAATGCTACGCCCATGCATTTAGATAACGATAGTCAACAAGCGGATATGCAGGAGGCATTGGACTTTGTAAACGAACAACAGCAAGAACAAAGTAGGATAGTGGCCACTACTGCAGCCGCCAATGAGATCGGTCCGCTGATGGCTTTGACATCAATACACCGCATAGAAAATATCGGCTATTCGAAATCCATCGATGATAATACTTTCAAATTTTACTGTCTTTCCGAGAATTGCACATTTCTCTATTCGAGTGAGGCAATTGGCCTTGAAACCCATTTCAGTTGTGAACACAAGCAGAGCACTTGGAATGGCTATTGTCACAGTTGCAAAGCACAAGTTGAAGGCGATGCTGGTTTGGGAAATAAGTTCCCGCTTTCCGTCGAATTGAATCACATGCGTACGAAGCATTTAGCGTCACCGATCCTCACTCCTCTACCTGCAGTAGAAGAGTTAAAACAGCCATCCAAGTCTAATTCGCCAGGACTTGATGATGATAGACCGCGTATTAAGATTAGACGCTTGACGGGCGATTGTCTATCGACAACGCCGACACCCACTTCGGCGCAAGGTTCCAAGCCAGTAACTGTATTCGATGAAAACGCGCAGCAGGTCGAATTGACAACCATAGAAAGATCGCCTTCACCGGCGATCTCAACTTCATTCCTAAACCAAATACAACCGCCAGCAGTAGAGAAACCAATTGAGAATAGACACTTTCAAAATATTGGCGCCCAAGATGGTCGTTCGCCTAGTAAGGAAATCCCTTCTGCTACAGTGGAAGCTCAAGCTTCAACACCGCCATGCCAACTACAAATAGCCAGTGTGGTTAGCTTGAAGGAAAACAACGCCCCTCCACCAACCACACCTAGCGTACAGCTGCCAGTCATATCAAATGTTTGCAGCTTAAATTCCCGCTCCAACGCATCACCAACAAATAACACAGGCTCCCTTTGGGCTCAACACATAGCTGAGGAACGCGCCGAGCTGGAACGTTCGGCTTCCGAGTCTTTGGAAGTATCGCGCATACTTGCCAGGAACAGGCGTTCCGAGCGTGATAGCGGTGCTGATAGAAACTCGGTCACAAGTGACTCGCCGGAACCGCAAGTAGTCGCTGAAACTGTGCCTGTTGGACAAGCAACTACTGGCAGTTACCTTATAACCCAAACAGTTTCGGCTCAATATGAAGAAGGACGTTTGGGTTTTAATATCTCAATTGCAGCGAATCCTTCAGCACGTATAAGTCGTTCGGATTCGGGTAGCAGCACGAGCACCTCATCAGTTGTTGTACCAACGGCACCACAATTTAAGTGCATGGCAAATGGCTGTAAATATCAGACGCGCTTACCACTGGCCATGGGCGATCATTTGCAATTCCATGACCGTCAAAACTTCAGCGCCCAACGTGAGTATCTGCGTTGCTCGCAATGCTCATTTTTAGCTGAAGATGTGGATGGATTTATGCAGCATACCGATCAAAAGCATGGTATGTTGATGAGAAGCGCTTCAGATACAGGAACGATAAGGGACATACTGCGTAACCCGGATAGCAATGGTAGTCAACAGGGTGCGAGTGAAAACGCAACTACCAGTACTGGGGCGAGCAACTACCAGCGCTGGGGGAAGAAAGAGACTTTCACTCAAGAAACATGGGAAACTGCACTTAAGGACATTGTTTCAGCAACTGGTGTGCCAGGTAAATATCATTAGTATTATTTTATATACGCAATTTAGTTGAGAAATTCTACTTAAAGCTAGATTTTTATACGCCCTATTTCGTATCAATATATATTTTATCATCTGATAACGTGCGCGCACCTTTTACAAGTGTGCCCGTCCTTCACAACTAATCCGGGGCATCATACCTCTCGTAGCCATTTAATTGCTCGCAGTCTGAGGCTTGGGAGTAGAATTACCACAGCGAGTCGATTTTCTATAGTACATCCTTTCGTGTGACACGAACCGATAGCTTTGACTCGCAATAATACCAAGACTTAGAGGCTTTACAGCTGTTAGACCTTTCCTACCAATCCTTTCCGCCGAGAGCAGCCACGAACAATTGCTCAAGAAAAATTCTTTAACCGCCTTCGACACTTATGGGAACAGTAGTAGGCTCGGAATGGGCACACCGCTGCGGCTCAATAATGAAGGCGCGATAATACATTTGACTTAAGCTTTTTGTTAGAAAGCTTAGGCCGATCCCCATCTATTGCCTCCAATAAGCGAAAAATTGAAGGTATATCATTCAGGCCTGAACAAAATCGAAAGTCATATAAAATTTTGTAAAAGAAATGGAAAAGAAATTTTCTTCTATCTATCCATTCCTATAAAGGAAAATTTTGCAAAAAAAAACTTTCTCCAAAGTAGCTGAGGCTCAAGGATAATATATACAATCAGACTTGTATGCATACTTGGTTGCATATAAGTTCGGTATACACCTATGCGACACGTTGTTCAAACATATTTCGTTGTAATCTTTGTAAGCGAACATCATGGCAAGCGGATCTTCTCCTTGCCCACCAACCTTTAAGCTGCCTTTACATGGGGTGATTTTTTGACAGGCGATAATCGCATGCAAATGTCTACTTTGAGGCAAGCGATTTTTGAATCACTTACACGAGCGATTTTTCTGGAGCTATGTTGAATCGCCTAGAAAATCGTCTCATGTAAATCCAGTTTTAGAGTCACAAATTATTCACATATAGGGAGTCCAATCCCGCAAATGCGGGATCACGCGACATTTTCGCGGTATCAGAAATGAGGGATTACAAATGCGGGATCCATCGGATTTGCGGGACTACAGAAAAAAAATGAAAAAGACGATTGCGTGCGGTGAAAGCTCGCCAAAATGTTCGTCGTGCATGGCTATATTAAATATACATACATCATTTTACAACCCAGTAGATAATTTAAGGAGTTAAAAGCACTTCCGAAAGGTCCTCCTTAGAGTCAAAAGGTCTTCCACTCTACATTCCCTTCTCCTTTTTTTTTTTGTATGGACTGTCATCAATTGAAAGGCTTCTTCTTTCGCTACGCATAGAAGGCCTTCCAGAACGGCTTTTATAGGACGTACTTCAGTAGGCCTCTTGGATGAATTCATTGAGTTTCGCAATGTGTTTTAAAGTTAGAAGCCAATCCTGACGTGATGAAGCAGGGAATTAACTTCACTGCACGTTAGTTTGCAACTTATAACGTAATGCGTCGTCAGAGGTGTTCATTTTGTGCTTTACTAGTCATGATGACAATTTTAGTATTAAAAACTGAATGAAAACATGACTTACCTCGTAAGGTGCTTACCTATTTTCCCATTGGGATATAGCGATTTTGACCATATACCTAGAAACTATACATAATCACCAAAATCAATAAAATAAGGTCAAATTTAATAGATGAAACCTTAAAGAATTTATCATTCCTTCGGAAATATTATCAAAAAACTCAACCTAATTAAAAGTAATAACGTAGATTTTCTAAATCAAATCGTCTTTTTTTTATATATATCAATTTTGAATATAACTGTTTAGAGGAAGCTTGCGGGATTGCGATTTTTATGCGGGATTGGATTCCCTAGTCACATACATATGTACATAGGCTCATTATGGACATCTAGTACAGACAAATCTGCATGTGTATATTCTGAGTCATCTATTCTTTAGGCCATTGTGATTACGTGATTGCGACTTTTTATGTTCTGGCCCTACCTTACGCCATAATCGTTCTGTGTCTGTTGCCTAGTAATAGAAAAATACTAGATGGCGTAGTTCGTTTAAAACATTAACATTTCTCTCCTTAAAACTCCACCATCACTTCGGATTAAATTAATGATAATCCTCTCACCGTTGCAGACTCGAAACTTTTCCGCTGCACCATTGAGGATTGCAAGACAAAACTAACCGAAGCGAGCTATTATTCACATGTCGTTTATCATCTATCCACCCTGGGCCAGATAAATATTAATGCCCACACCTACAAGTGCCCACATTGTAAGTGTACCTTTAATAAGCCACAAAAGATCAAGACGCATATAAAATCACACGGTATACACAGATATTTCTGTTATATGTGCACAAATACCGCCATTAACATTGAACAAATGCAAAAACATTTTGAGGACAAACATTGGCGTTGTAAGAAATTACGTCCCACTCTATTGCCTTTTAAAGCGACAGATAAACAAAGTTCAAGCAATTCATACTATGTGATATTCACAACAACTCTAAGTCAATATGAGATTCAACAGTTTCGTGAGAAACTGATTGTCGAATGGCAACGCAAGAAATCCAGTTCGCGCACACATTTCAAACCGAGCGAAATCGGCTTATTGCCGCTAACACCGATATTTGATAAAATACTAAATTGTGCCGTTTGCCCATATAAAACAAAGGTACGCACGAATTTAATGCGTCATTTGCAAATGCACACCGACGACAGCAATTGTGGTCCACAGCAATTGACCAATTTGGTTGATCCAATCAATCCGGTACCATGCTTGAAGTCGAACGAGAAACATTTCGATAGAATGACAAATCTGGCATCATCTTCTTTGGTGGTGGGCAGCAGCTCAACCGGAAATGCGACAAGCACTGCTAATGATGGTAACAACGCGCCAACCATTGGCGTTAAGGGCAAAGTACTTTACGCATATATACCGGATACGAAACGTTATACCTGCGGTGTTAGCAATTGTCAATATTTGACAATATCGGATGATATTTTCCGATCGCATTTGAATGCGTTGCACGGTGATATTTTGAATTATAATTGCCCGCATTGCAAGGAAGAGATCTGTAAGCGTAACTTGTCGATTGAACGGATTCTAAATCACTTACGTTTTCATGGACCGAAATTGTATCAGTGTGAATCCTGTGGGTACTTGCATTACATGAAAAATGTGGTTGATCGGCATATACGACAGCATGATGTAGATCCGCCGTTATTCGTGAAGGTGATCGAGTACGATCGGACGAAAGAGAATGCAGGTGAGTGAATAGCGTTTAAGGTACTAGTTGTAAGTGTAGTAAAATTGAGGGGAAGTCAATGTTGGCGATGAGAAATGAAGGAAATGTGGTGAAAATAAAAGGGAGAGCATGAAATTTATTCTGAGGTGAATTCATATAAGTGAATGGTGTGATGTGATGTGTTTACATGGTGGTGTGATTTCACTGGAAATAGAATGAAAAAATACAAACTATTAGCCTTATTCATAAAAAATAAAGTAGCTTTGAAAAAGGTTTATAAATTGAAAAATATATGAAAACGTCAATTTATAGAGCTTTTTAAACCGACTTTCTTTTCTATGAATAAGGTCATATACATATGTATTTAGTAATATAAAATATAAAATAAAAAGTAAAATAAACAAATAAAATTAAAAAATAAAATAAACAAAAATGAAAATGAAAATATCAAAAAATTTAAAAATAAAATAAAAATAAAAAAATAACAAAAAAAAAATTAAGTGAAATAAAAAGATAGAAAGATAGAAAGTTTGCAAACAAAAAAAAACTTACAAAAATAAAACTAAAAAAAAACTACATAAAAAATTATAAAAAGTAAATAGAAAACTAAAAATATAACAAAAAAGATAAAAAATAAAGAGACAAAAAATTTAATAAAGTGAAATACACAAAATAAAACAAAACTAAATTAAATTAGATAAAATGAAAAAAATTAAGTGAAACGAAATGGAAAGCAATGAAATGAAATGAAAGTGAAATGAGAAGAAAACAAATGAGATGAGATGAAGTGAAGTGAAGTGAAGTGAAACGAAGTGGAATGAAGTAAAATGAAAACCTAAGTGAAATGTAATCTCTCAAATTAATAAAAAGTTGAAAGTGATATGCAAAATGCTGTCAACAAATTGAAATTTAAAGGAGGAGAATTAATGTAAAGTGAATAAATGAAGTGTGTTTATATGCAACACATCACTAGAACTGCAGCTGCACACAACTATGTATGTATGTACATGCATTCATATATAAGACGTGTTGTATTTCTACCATAAAAAACCGTTTGACAACTGAAACGATTATATCGCCGCTTGGCGCGTAATACCTCGTATCCGCCAAATACAATACCACGTCGGAGAAAAAAAAATTATTTTCGGTTACCCTGTCTCAATGGTTCCCCACTTTAATTAAGTGTTGAATAAATATACATAGTAGAAGCACATACATATTTAGTAAGTTCAGTTAGAAAACACTTCAAAAGACTAAAGAAATTAAGTTTAAAATTTATGATATGAAATAAGTTTTTTTGTTCAAAAGTAAAATTTTCGTACTAACTTAGGCCGCGGTTTCGGTAAGAGCGTAGCAAATTTCTTAAGAAATGCGTACTGCCTTAAGGAAATTTGACACAAGAAAATTTCTTAGCCATTTCTTGTAAGTCATTTTATATGGAGGTTTTGCTTTTCTTGAGAGCTGCATACTGGCCTTGTAAGTGTCTTACCGAAACCACAACATACCAACGTAGGCACTTCAGTGTCGAAGCGACGTCGTGCGAATTTTCTTAGTGAAACCGCAGCCTTATGCGTGGTATTCCGATTGGGGCGTATGCGAAATATTGCGCGCCAAGCGACAATATGCTTGTAAGACAGGCCCCTCAAGCTACAAGTAGAAGTAGAGAAACGGTTTAAATATTTGTAAGACACCGTTTTTTTTTATAATCAAAAAAAATCATAATTTCTAAATACCTAAAACGCCCCTGTCTCCGCACTAATCTCCAATTTATTATTTTTTTAAACTCTTCCTGGTTATTTCGAAAAAAAACTAAATTCAACAGCCAAAAACCCCGATAGCACGGTAACTTCCGCAACACCAATGACAACCACAGGAGCCGCCGCTAAATCCGAAGCGCTAAAATCCAAAGGCGGCAAACAGAACAAATGGTCGTGTAATTTGTGTGGCCACAAAACAATGACACACCAACAAATCGTTGCGCATGCAACATCTCAACATTCCTGCAAACACCAATATCAATGTATGCATTGCGCATTTACAGCGCCACAATTGGTGCAAGTGATGACACATATCGATGAGAAGCATTCGGGTAAAAAGCGTGAAGCGCGTTATGTTTTCGAAAAGCTAGAGGAGCAGGAAGATAGTAATAGCAGTGCGAAGGCGATTGATACGCGTCCGCTCTGGCAAAGGGACGATCCGACACGTGTACGACACATACGCGGCATACTTATGGAGGATGAGGAAGAATCTGAACGCTATCAAAAGCGTTTATGTTTGGATGATAATGATGAGGGAACGGAAAATGGCGATAGTGATGAGGTAGGTGTTTAAGTTTTATTGTTAGTGTTCATGTATTTATGTATGTAGTGGGGCTTCTGATTCTTAAAACAGGGCAATATGTACCTATTTATATGTATGTACATATTTAGCATGTCAAAAAAAAAAAAAAAAAACAGACTGAAATTCATTGATACGAATGTATGCAATGCAAATATGAAATAGTAATTAATTCTCATAAACATCAATTAAATTAAGTATTAAAGTTAAGCATATTTAATATTTTAATAAAAATGGTTTGTATATTATGTAATAAAGCTTAGTTGACTTAATTGAATATTTTATATTTCTTTATTCAAACTTGCAGTGCAAAAGAATTTTATACGCATTTAAACTAAAGCTTATAACTTAACATTTTACATTTTTATGCTTAGATATTTGTCAACTGTGATTAACATCACTTCCTTTGTACTTAAACTATGTCTGTTGTACTAGAATGTTTTTTTTTTGTGTCTGTAAGTGCCTTCGTAAAAAAGAAGATTTTACTGAGTTTAGCGCGAAGTGAAAGTTCAAATTGAGGCAGTCTCGTTGGACTTCTTCAACTCTCAGATTGCTAGTTTAAGTTCATTGTGCTATGATCGTGGGTTTTCCCAACCCTGTTGCTGTATTTCGTTGAACTGTTTCGACCATTTGTCAAGCCAAGCAGAAACTAAAGTGTTCACGCCTTCGAAAAGTGGTCTTAAAAAACCAGAAGCGTAGTTATCTGTGGAGCAACCGGAGCGGAAGCTTTAGTGGTCCGTTGTCCCATAATATTCTCGTCGTGCAGTACATAGAACGCTGATACTTGCAGGTATCTCGATTTTTCTATCTACCTTCAGTACCCCCTCTAGCGTCATATTGCGATTGCTTACAATCAGGGTTAAATGCTTACACCTTGCTTTACAGAAGTTGCTGAATACACCTACTAACAGTTCACTTTGTTTTAACCTTATTTTAACACTACAGTGCACTTTTTACCTTCACAAAATTCCACTAAACTTCAGCTGCAATTTAATCCCACTGCTGAATTATTAATTTCAAAACGCTAGCTTAAATTTGCGTCCTTATTAGACATATTACGATAGTTTTTTCTACTACCAGCCGCACCTCGGCAGTCAGTAGCGAAAAGCCTCATCACTTCGTTTTACAGCTGTTCAGTCCGCCATTTGCAAAAAAAAAAAAATCCAGGCACATACCGTTGTCTTTTGAAATATTAATATTTCCTTCATATTCACGATGTAGAGAAGACAAAGGTGGCGCATTGAGCAGTGCCGCTACTTTACCCTTGCCGAGTTTGACACAATCAGCTGTTTCAGAGACGTCATTATAGTAATATCGCACAAAGTTTGTTCCTTTATGGATAGCTACCAATAATAATTACTAATTTTTACTAGTAAACGATTTATAACATAAAAATAAGCAGAAAAAACTAGCTAGAAATTCGCGTAACTAATGTCTACTAGCTTGCAGTTCCTATTTTTATTTTAATTTCGCTCTTTCTGTACGTAGTATTAAATATTTCTTGTATCTAGCTACCGACGCTATTTTTTCGCCTTCATCTCCCCTATGCGTTGCTTAGCGTGACGTCATCAGCCACAGGAATACGCAATCTTGTATTCTATCATTCTTAACCAGGCTAGTGTTCTCATTATAGCAACGCTGCCAGATCTATTCGTCATATTCACATAGAATTCTATTAGCTGTATTTTATTGCCTTAAATTCTTTCCATACTGCATGCTTACTCATTCTCAGATAGCAACATTCCAAATGTTGATAATTTCTAGAAAGTTTAGTGCGACTTTTTTTCAATCCTTTTAATCAAAAATACCTTACCTCCCAATTTTCAGAATTTAAATTTAGAACAATTTGGATTTCTTTGCTACTATTGCAATACTAAATTTCCAAACTTCGAGGATTTGCGTGATAAACATTGGCAAAGTTCCGGTTGCCAAAAATTTGATACAATGAAACCATTCCGCTATCGTATTTGTACGACGCTCAAATGCCCACATTGTCTTTCGTTTACGGGCAACAGTATTGAATTGATAGCTCACATGAAAGAGATGCACCAGGCAACTAAATATTTAGCTGCCGACGCATATGCCACATCAGCTGGTTTGACTTGTGGCCATTGTGAGTATCGAGGCCAATCGTTGGCGCACTTAGCACAGCACACAACGCGTTTGCGCCACAAACCTTTGGATTTAAAAGTCATGTCGCTGGCACAGCTCGAAAAATTGAAAACTCTGGGTTCCCCTTTAACATACGTCCAATGCTTAAGTTGCATGGAATTGCTCGCCAATGAGGCTGGTTTTGTGGAGCATACATCATTGGCGCACCCAAATGAGTGTGATATTAAATCGCAGATAATAGAGAGTAAACTAATCTACTCGTGTCCGATATGCCCATTCACGTCGCAACAGGAAATGACCGTCTTGCGACATATGATCGATCATTATAGCGGTTTTAAGCGTTGCTACTTCTGCACACAGCCACAGTCCTCTTTCAATGGTTACATGCAACATTGTTACTCGGATCATCGTGAAGAGATAAAGAATTTCTGCTATATCTATACTAGCGCCGAAATCAGTAGATACCTGCAGCAGCTGCAGTTGATATTCCCCAATGGTTTGACGGTAGATCTATGCAATCTACGCTTAACGCAATACCTAAAAGAGTATGGAAACAAGCAGATTAAATTGCTCTACGATGAGATACAGAAAACGTCACAGCAGCCACCAATACCGCGTCTCTCGTTGGGACGTTTAGTCGCTAGAAAATCCATCGAAGCTAAAATGGCTGAAACCGGCGCAAACTCACCAACCTCCACAGTATCAGCCTCATCCTCGACCACAGCGGCCTTGCAGCTGGCTGGCAATAATGCTAAGGCATTGCAACCAACTTTAACCGCACAAAAAATTATGAAACGTCGCAGCACGATTGCATTAGGTAGAGATGAGTCTGTTATGATGCGCTTAGCGGTTAGCTCCCCAACGGGTGAACCGACTGGGATTTTGTTCAGCAATAAAAAGAGGAAGACGCTACACAATTTGGAGGTACTACCACCTCCGACTGCTGTGGTTAGAGAGAATGTCGTGATGGACGATAGCGAGAATTCCAACTTTAGCATCGTAAGCGATAGTGAAACATCGCAAGCGGAGCAGCAGCAATTGCAACCGTTTAGCTACTATGGAAAGCCAATAGTGCCATTGGATTTGAATAAAATATTTATCAAGATCGCGGCAGCAGATACTGTGCAGACGAGAATCACCATATCGAAGTTCAAATTGCTGTACAACATAACGCCGCGCGTAGTTGTGACGCCCACAGATATGACAAAGTACCGTAAAGCAGCTGGAAAGAAACGTAAAACAATAAAACCCTGTCCGTTGAGTCATAAGATCAGATACAGTTGAGCGGTGAAATTACAAATGTACGTAAGTGGTGGAGTTGTGTAACATACTTATTGCACAACAACAGGATTTGAATAAGACCATGTTCCTTCGTGATATTTAAGCAGCAAATGTGCTACTAAGCATACGAAAGTGGTAAACTACTCGTTTAGGTTATGTTTCGTCGATAAAAAAAATAAAAAAAATAAAATAAAATGTAACACATAAATAAGTACTTTCAAAAAGTTACTTAAGTAATTAATTACCGATTAAGTAAGCTGAAATTCCTATTTTTGTATATGTACGTATGTATGTAACAACGCGCGAAGTGAATACTTACATTTTTGTGGATTTGCAGATTAGGCGGAACTGATTATTTATAGTCAAACTTATATGAGAAAGACATGAATGTAATTTAATTATATCTAAGAGTAAGGTACCGTAATTATTTTCAATTAACATTATTACAAATGGTAAACATATTTTAATTATTAAAGTACATATACATACATAATGCTCCAAACGCATATCGTTTCACAGTCGAAACGCGTAGTTAAAGCTTGTCTTTGTTTTACTTTTAGTTTTATAACAAATAAAGATTTTATGTTTAATTTATTTAACTGTGAATACGTAAACGCTAGATTACAATAGAAAAAAAAAAAAAAACTTATGAACATAATTTTTCATACCGCCACTGAATAAATTGAATTGAATTAAACTTAGACGAAAACTTAACGTATGTAGTTTGCTGACAAATTGGTGATACCCGAGTACGTAGAGAAAAGAGTAAAGGTAAGTAAATACA